TTTCGAGAATAAATGCAAAGATTGGAGGATTTTGGGAGACTAAGGATGAAAGCAATTACCTCTCATTTCGAGAATAAATGCAAAGATTGAAGAATTTTGGGAGACTAAGGACGAATGCAATTTTTAGACTAGGACCACTGGAAGATTTTGGAGGATTGAGGATGCGCCCTAGCAAAAAAGACCCTTGCATCACATGCAAGGTGTGGAAACTGCCGGTCATTTGAGAAATTATAACACCTTGCTTGCTCAGCGTGTCTCCTGAAAATCCCAAGACAACTATCAACCCTCTGATAATTTCACAGAGGTTCATTGTTTTCTGCCACCTGTGTATTACTAATTTAATGTTTGATCCAAAACATTTCCTTCTAAGCATCAAAACTTAATTTGATTATACAGGGTAACTCATTTCCAGCAAAAGCATTAGTCACATTGTTTGCACCTGCTGTGATTTTGAAACTTGGGGCAAAAGGTTTTTGGAATATGTGTAGTTTTTACCTTGTCATGTGACCTCTGTCATATGACCTGTCATGTGACCTCTGATTGCTGATGCGTCTCACACTCTGCTTTGTTGTGACATTAAATGGCAATCATCGACTACAAAAAAGATAACAGCATCAATGTTATGGCAGAAACAAATGAATATGGCGAGATGAGATATTGTTGATTTTAAGAGAGTAACAAAATTAGGGTCTTCATGTCAGATGAAAGGTCACTCAGTAAGCTGAGAAACTGTGCCCTCCCTTGGGGAGAAAAGTTCAACTGATTGAAAGGTTTTCATAGGGGGAACCACAAGGGTTCTGTGGTTGAATAGTGAGACACCATAAACTCCTGCTGTTGACATTTCAAGAATTATTGTTTTGTTCACTTGTGGTTTTTTTGAGTATGTGGAACAAGAAGATATCCCTCATTTATTTAGATTTTTGTCTGACAACTTTATTCCATTTCCAGTTAGACCACAGTGGCAAAAAGCAGTACTGCTGTTTGGCATTCCCTAGATCAAGTACCAAGGCTGATATACACTGTACATATAATGTCTCATTACCGGCGCTTCGCTTCACTGGTGTCCTATCCTTCAAAACACATTTAGTAGTTCACTTCAATAAACCAATCTAAAGTGGAATAATACGGGGCATTCACAATACAATGCTCCACCGAGAGGCTGCCACAGAAAGGCTATTTTTTGCATTGTATTGTGGGTTTGCATTGTTGGAAATGGTCAACAAATTCTGTTCCTCAGCTGCTTGCAGAGATCCTGAACTATTCTCAATTTTTCTTTGTCAGGGAAGAAGATTCATACTTGTACAGTAAGTGTGTTTTGGGTAGCAGTTTTATTTCATCTTTTCTTCTTTCTAATGTATGGAATGGAATGTCCCAATCTATCAAGAAGATGTCCACTTTGTCTGATGACTATCACTCAAATGCAAATCATGGCAAGGCGACCATGCTTTTGTTGACCATAAACTTCAAAAATGGCCTCTCCATGGCAACCTCTGGATAGCACACTGTATTGTGAATCAAACCAGTTTACCAGTACAGTGCAATACAGCGATAATTAAATGAAGAAAAAAAAAGGAGGTCAACGTACCACAAGTAACAAAATCATCTGGTTGGCTGAATTTTATCCAATAGGATCATGCTTGCTTCAGACGGGGCTGTCCCTCCTCCCACCCTCTGAGCTCCGCCTCTGCAGCGCCCTCATGGACCAGTCTTTGACATTTCATCCTCTCTGCACGGGTCCACTCCACTCAGACAACAGGGATCCCACAGTGCCACAGATCATCTGGAACCCGGTCCAGGAATCATAGAGGTGGCTGGCCTCTCGGATAGGAACCCAACACTGCCCCACTGAAAAATAATACAGAGAAGCAAGTGACTTGAATTAAGGATACCAGCTTGGGAAATAAAAAAAAAAGTTGGCAAGTAGAAGACTGTTGGCATACATGTAAGCCAAGGCTTGTAAGCAG